GAAGACCACAGAAGTGAGTGACACTGTCAGCACTTGGTACGAAGGGAACATGCTCTCATCATGGCTGTTCCCTGACGATGCTGACCTCGCTCACCTGGCCAGGACAGGGGCTCCCTTTCTCCACTGTCCATTTATTTCTCCCCCTTCCCACACTCAGCTCTTTGGAAGCAAGTTGCTAAGCACAGGGTCGGCTCAATTTAAGAGTTTTGTTAATTGTCTTATCTATCTGTACCCTGTTATATTTAGACTACGCCTGTGTTTTCTTTTTTTTTTTGTATTCCGAATGTGTATATTTTGTGTTTAAAGCCTTAAGAAACAGAAATTGCCTAGGCCTGAGAAGGATTTGCAGTAGTTAGTAGCTGTGTTGAATCTTTCTTGCAGTCCTCACGTGTTCGGTTTACTGGTTTTGTGTTAACGTCTTCCTACCTTGTCCACTGCATCCCTGTACCACGTGGGCGCCCTGTTCTGCTCATATGGTGTACAGCTTGCACTTCATTCTTCGAGCATAAGGAAGCCTCACTTCTCTCTTACTGTTGGGGGAGAAGTTTAGCATAAGAATATTTTATTCGTCCTGAAGCTTATCTAGTAAACACCAAAATATATTTATTCTAATTAAGTTAATGATAATCTTTCTGTGTGTAAAATTGTCTTAAAGATTCATGAGTTTTACTTCTGACACCTATTCTGACATCATAACGGGTTAACCTACCACACACCTCTGTTATGTGTAAAGCTGCTGAACTTCAGGAGTCCAGATCACAGATGGCTTGTTGTTTTGTTGTTTGTGGGGCGAAATTCTCAATGAATTTGATTTTTTTTTTGTCTGAATACTCTTTTGCACTCAACTCAAATGACTCCACATTTTCACTTCGAGTCCATTTCCAAATAAGAATGAAAGAGGAATAATAGACTGTTGTTTTAGCATATAATAGGAACGTTCTTGAACTGATATATGTTATGTTTTTGTTCATTGAAGCATCATTGTCTGTGTTCTGGGGAACTTAACTGTTTCAAAAAACCTTATGATAAACTCTATGATGCTGAAAATGACCAAATTTCCAAGATTTCATTTCATCCATAGGTGCAGAATGTTTCATCAAGGCGGACTGATTAACGTATATTCTCAGAACATTAGAGCTTCATGTTCCTTCTTCTTGTAAACTTACTTAAGAAATTGTTTTGAGTGTGTTAGAGTATTTTTTGCCTTTAAAGTCAGTCTTAGAATCCAGTACTAGGGGAAAAAGTTCAAAAAATATATTTTAAGAAAAGGACTTCTGCTCACTTTCCTGGTCACTTGGTATGACAACTCAGAAACAGAAGAATGTTTTTAATCAACCACAGGGGAAATCCTTTCCCTGGCCCCTCGATTCTACTTTCAGTCAGTCGAAAGATTGTTAAATTCGTGTGGGGGATTCCCACGTGTTCTATAATAAGTTCTGTCAGAGTTTTCACATGTGCGTAGAATGTAGGGTACTGCTGCACAGGTTTTGTGTCTCGGTTGTGCGAGGGCTGCTCCGTGTACCGTTACTTTGTTGTGTTATTAGTCATTCTTTCTTCTAAGTATGGATGTGCAAGAATGAGAAAGGCTGAGCATTATAAAACGAAATACAAGGAACTCATCAACTTGTTCTCAGGTAGGTTAAATATAAGATCTTTGGAAAGATGCTGGCTCTTTTTTCTGCAGTGAGTGAAGAAAATTCTACAGAGCTCTGGATGCGGGAGTCCCCATTCGTTCCATCTCCCGCACTAACTGTGCCCTTTCTGCGCACTGACTGTGCCCTCTCTCAGAGCCCAGGCTCCCCGGGCCGCCATTCTCAGGGTCAGGCCGATTTTTACTGCTCACATCTGGCACGTATGCTTCCTGCAGTCACTGTTCAAGTCAGATCCTAAGGTCTTGAAGTCATCTTCAAAAAGATGATAAATGTTGAGCCAGTTTTGGGAGAACATAGCGGGATGCAGAGTCGTGACATCTTGTGTGTAATCGGTAGACTATGAGAAAGTCAGTCAAAAAATGTCTGTGTGGACCACCTTTGCTGGGCCCTGTACTTTCCTGAGCTTGCGGGAGAGAACACCATGGCTTCTGTAGGGACGGGGTTGTATTTACGTTCCTGTCCCCCCAGGAACGTTTGGAAAACCCCCACGGTGGACAGGAGCCTGCCATCACCTCTGCCACTCTGCAAGACACTTGAGAAGTTTAGTACCGAATGGAAGTTTGCTTAAATGAGAGGAAAACTTGGAGCTGGTGCACAGAAGGCAGAGTCCCCCCTGGGTGTCCTCTGCCTTGTCCTCCAGCATCGCTTTAGAGATGGGAAAGATCAGAGTAAACGGGGGCCACTGAGGCTCTTCCTCTGAGGCGTTTAGAAGTCTTCCCACCTCCATTCACGAGCCAACAAACAATAAAAAAGAGTTTCCCCTGAATTTTCCTGGTTCATCCTCAAGCCTTTCCATCCCCAAAACTTACCGAACGTATTTTCATGAAAATGTTTTTATTCTTGTGCCAGGAAGATTTGGATCTGTAAGGCTGCTTTCAAATTGTTATCTGTCTTTTATTTCTCCCTTTTAAATTTTGCTTCTCCTCTAAAATCCCCTGTATTTTTCTTCTGGCTGTAAAATTGCAGGAAATTTTACGTTAACCTCCTACCCCCACCGCCTATCTGCTTTTCAGTGGACTTGAGTCGGTCATGTGAGGACCTGCTCTTTGCCGGTCTGCAGGGGGCGCTGCATGGGCTCCGGGTCCCCCTCAGGACCAGACCTCATCTCAGGGATGGGTTCTAAGCTGCACAGTAATTACCTCTTTCAGTACATTTTTTTTTCCGGCTTTGTCTCTCTCCTTAACACTCAGATGCAGGAACACCAATCTTATCATCAAGTTATCTCAGCTGATATTTGACTTGGTCCAAACTTACAGCATCTACAAGTGGGTTGCACAAGGGGATGCATGCTTTTGCCTGGAAGGTTGACTCCTGCCCTAGGCTGTTAACATTCTTTCATTCAACAGACATTTATTACGTGCTCATTGTGAGCCAGGCTCTTGATAAGGTGAGGGTGCAGAAATAAAAAGGCCCAGTGCTGTCTTCAGTAAGCTTCCAGTGTAGTGAGAGAAACAAGTGCGCTGTGGGAACAGCCCTGATTATGGAAGCACCTGGCAGGGCCTGCAGTCCAGACACTCAAGGCAAATCACTCTGGAGGAAAGAACCTAAGACCTAGGTTTGGGAGGATGGATACACGTAAACTGAGAGAAGATGGAGGTTGGGATAAGCGGGGTTTGGGGGGAGACAGAGAGCCAGGGGAAATGTCAGGCTCTCGGGGTGCACCTGGGGGAGTTTGCTGTGTATTCAAAGGCCTAAAGAGGCTCGAGACCAAGGAGCGTGCTAGAAACTGCAAGGCGTTCGGACCTGCATGAGGTTAGGGTTTGTTAAAAAAAACTTCTCGGTTTAGTTATGAGCACGTGCCTACGTTTTATTAGTTTTACAGCACAAGAGAAGAGGCCCCTGGTGGGTGCATTCAAAGGTTCGCTCTTGTAGGGGCATGTTACAGGAAGAAAGAATGATTAAATCATCATTGAAAAGAACGTCCAGCTAAAATCTTCAGCCTCTGATACTTGACAGTAATGGGGTGAAGGGTGAAGGCAATGATTTCTCCGGAACAAGCTTTAATCTTCTTAAAGTTCGTTAGAAAATTGCATCAGAAAAATGCATTTTATCTGGAAGGCTGTTGATTTCTTCCCACTAGGATGTTGTGAATTATAGAATCAGCAACATGGTTCTGTTCCAGACCAGATTTGGGGCAGTTTTTCTTTTATAGGTTCCAGGTCACGATGGCGCGCAGTCGAATTTTCAGCGATCTGTGGTGAAGAGCTTTGTAAGCCAAGCTAGGAGTTTGGATTTTTATCCTGAGGGCAGAAGGGAGCCACTGAGGGAATTTTAAACCCCAGCCATCAGTGCGGGGAGTGGACTAGCTCCTGTGTGAGGCTGGAACAGCAGGGAGAGAAGTTTGCAGAATATTTTAATTATCCAGGGAAAAAATAATGAGGGCCTTGAGTTCAGGTCTGCCTCTTCCTTCGCCCCCCTCCTCCCCAGACCCCTCCACCTGGAGCACCTCTGGTGGATGCTGCTTTTCCCCCAGAAGAGTCAGTTTTGACTTTTCAAATTTAAGGGGTGATTGTTGTTACCACAATAAAAGAAATGGTGATGATGTTAAGATGATGATGAAAAGGTGTTAGCAGAAGCCGCTGGTTCTGAAATAAGGGCTCAGAGAAAGGGTCAAGGCCCTTCGGTGGGCTTCCTGGGCCTCCAGCCCCGGCCCAGGCGCCACTGCCCCTCCTCCCCAGGCCTGGTCCCATCTCTCTCCTGAGGCACCAGAAGCATTTTCAGAACCGTGTATCTTCTGGCCTCAGCCTTGGCCTTGAGGCTGTTCTCAGTATTCCTGCTCTGATTTGCTGTAATTACATAAGATTCTGCTCTTCCTCAGAAGTCTGTGGGCTGAACCCACTTCAGCCTCCGTCAGAGCATCTGCTGTGGTGAAAATAGAACCTTCAGAGATGCCTTTGCCCCAAGTTGCATACCTGTTGGCATGTGGTGATCTGTGCCGTGTTTTCTTATCACTGTTGAACGATGTCGTGGTGTCATTCTGGACAGAGGTGTAGCCAGGTTGCAGGAAACGTCAGGGAATCTGACTTCAGGGTACGTCTCTACTGGTTTGGGGTGGGGGGGGGGCAGGTCACACCTCTCTGACTGTATTCTCCTTTGGAGTATCCATGGTCTAACTGTTCCAATGTCTTCTCTCTTCTCTTTTATTACAGTGTTTAATCATTGTCATGTCAACATATTGCCGTGAAAATAACACTCCCCAATTACCTGATATAGATAGGGCATATTTGAGAATTTGCATTTCTCTTCTACACTTGATGCAAACAGGGGCTGTCCTTCACTTATTCTTGTTAGAAACCTATATTCAAAATAAATAATTATTCTCCTTTTGCTTTTTTAAATATCATTCAGGTTGCAAAAATATCTGCCTCTAAGAACTCAGGAGGACCGACTTTGTGGGAGCAGAGATAGTGAGTCAAAGCTGCAGGCTTGGAGAGGAGCGTTCGTTTGAGCCTCTTCGCTCAGTCGGGAGATTTCCTAGGCAACCGTTTATGTGGTCGTTAAAGGATGGGGAACTCAGAGGTATGCACTTGGAAATTTTAATCCTCAGATGCAATCCCTATCAGATCGAGACCTCAGTTTTCATTTTTTCGTTTAAAATAAGTAAATTAAAAAGCTTAACACTCATATGGGAAAAATCACTATTATTAAGACGTGTGTGCATTGCGCTTTATCCTTCTCTCTTTAACACGCTCTGATGGGAATGTTTATATGTATTTGTGCTGGCTTATTTGGGAAAGCGGAAGAGAGTTACTGCTTGAGGTGGTTTTGTTTAGCTGTGAAGTTATTGGAAAAGCAGGTAATCTTTGCACGTGCCTGTATCTGAGTTGGTTATCATTGGTAGAATTTCCAGCATGTGGGAAAGAGAGGTTTATTAATCGTTCGTTTCTTCTTTGAGTGTTTATGCTTGAGTTTGTCTTTGTCCCAGTGCTTTGGTGGTGTCAGTCTGCCTTAGGTTGCACTGAAACGGACTGCTCTGGGGCTTGAGGGGAAGTGTGGAACAGCAGTCAGTGAATCGGAATCGAGGGGTAGACACCCCTTGATCTGCTGAAGACTTTCCGCTGACCCTTCCCTCTCATCCATTTGCTCTAGGTCTCTTGGATGGCTGGAAGGATACGGGAAACGTTTCTCTTCCTCTGTGACCCACTAACACTCCCAGACGTTCTGTAGCACGGACTTGGATTACATTCTATTTCAATGAATAAGGTGGCTTTTTTCATGCACCAGTGAAAGAGGAAAGTCCTACAGGTTATGTGACAGATTCATTTTCGCTAGTGTTAGCAATAATCTGAAAAGAACCAAAATATTAAAATATTGGCAGTGCTGATTTTAAATAGGGTTATGTTATGATCCTGGCTCAGGTGTTGTGTGGAACTGTTAAACGTAAGATGAAATATAGAAAATGGCCTTTCTCTCCCAGAGACTGAGAGGGCCTGCCCCTGACCCTGAGCACCTGTGGGCGTTATACGAACGTTTGGAGCTTCTGGCCTCAATAAAGCAAATTTTTTCTTTGGATGCTCCTGTTGATTCCCTTCTACCACCAACGACTGTGAGACTCTCCTGCTTTAGAGATGTGGTGGCTTAAGTTAGGAGAACTTTGTTGTTACGGTTTTTCCCTCTTCCCTAGGTTCCTAGATCTGTGCAAGAAATTGTGGTGGCAAATCCTGGTCCAGAGCCAGGACTTGGCACTCTCTTTTTTCCTCTATAGCAAAGGTGAAAATTTTCTGATTCTTGGAGTGAAAATGCATGGAAGTGTATTTAATTCTTACGAAGTCCATTTTGACAGTGACTCTTTAGTGGTATTGACGATGCGCTTCTACCCTTAATTTGAATTTGTTTCATTTAATTACATATTTGAAATACCAGACTGTAGTTTATGAACTACCTTAAGTTATTTTTAAACAAGGTGGGTTACAAATAAGGTAATGCTTAGATTTGTTCTTTATAATATCTGCATTTTCACTTTTTTGTGTGAGATAAAAACTGACTTGTTGATCGATTCATGCATTCATTCACTGAATGTCTCCTGTTTGCAATCACTGTACTAGGCACTATGCTTTGGGGATAGAGATTAAGACCTAGTCTCTATTTTAAAGGTGCTGACAAGTCCAAAAGGAGAGACATGCAAATAAGTACTGTTAAAGCGCCTCTGAACAGTCCCTTGGAGGAGAAGAGCCATGAAATAGTTCTTTAGTAACGTCAAAGGCTGCGTCATAAATGAGTTCATCTTTGAACCTGTGACAAAATGTCGGAAGATGGAAAGATTGTAAACATATACCAGATGCCCACATCTTCAATATAAGTGACGTGGAAATGGATTTCCAATTTGGAGGCAAACCTTTGTTTCTAATTGGTATAAGACCTGATAAAACTTGACATTTAAAAAAGTCTAATAGAAATATTAATTTGCTTATACTCTGTCAGGATGTGGGTAAATGTGTGACCCCTTTGAACGTTCTAATACGGATTTCCCAATCGCTGAAGGTTTTATCCTAGGTAGCCTGTAGTAACCTTTAAAAATAGTTTACTAGGGGCCGGCCCCGTGGCCAAGTGGCTAAGTTTGTGTGTGCCGCTTCACTGGCCCAGGGTTTCGCCTGCTTGGGTCCTGGGCGCAGACATGTCACCACTCATCAAGCCATGCTGAGGTGGTGTCCCACATGCCACAACTACAAGGACCCACAACTGGAATATACAACTATGTACTGGGGGGGCTTTGGGGAGAAGGAAAAAAAAAGGAAATAGTTTACTAGTATTTATTTTTGCAAGGGAAAGATTGATTTCTTTAGAATTAAATATTGGCAGGAACTACCTGATTCGGTAGATTAGTTTTATCATTACAAAGATAGAAAATTATTCCGAAGGTGGGGCTGGTGGTGCCCATGCTGGGCACGGCTGCACTAGATCTTTCTTCTCCACCTTCCTGTAACAAACAACCCGTGCTCTTTTGGGCATCAGCCATGTGCATAGCCATCCTTCTACCCACTTTGTGACCATTATCTGCTGGCTTTCTCATTACCCTCACTCACCATTGATGACTGCCTCATTGTTCTCCACCAGCCCCACCTTCATTGGATGACCCATGTATTTCCCTGACTACATGGATTTTGGGGCTCGTATCACCAGCAATCTTCTCCCCAACTTGCTATAGCTCCCCCCCCCCGATCTGCTCCTGGCTCAGGTCAGTAAATCAGAAATTCCCTGTCTGACCACACTGTCCTGTCCATCCACCTTGTCCCACAGAGTCCCACCTCTCCTTTGATCTCACTGCGACCTCTAGTCTACTGACTCCTTTGCTCTGTACCTTTCTGTTTTTATTCCCCTCCTGATCCAACGTAGCAGCCGTGGTCCAGGTTTTAAATCACTCTCTTTCCCTACGCTTCTTGATGGTTTTGTCCTTTGGCTTGCACCTGGGCTACTGCGCAATGCTGGAGAAAGTCATCCAGCTGGGCAGATGGGTGCCTGTTGGCATAAATTCAGGTGCACCCAGCACTGCACAGCACTTGCGCCATGTTATTCTGGTTCGCTGTCATCCTGATTCTTCATGGTGACCCTTGCTACACTAGCACACTCTCGGAACTTAGGCTGCTTCTCCTTCCCCCTTCCTCTTGTCAGATGATACTCTCCTGCCAGTAGTGTCCTCTATCACACCTACCACTGAGCTTTCTCTGTCCCTTGGCATCCATGACCTGATGACCTCCTGGTCTTTTTTCTACCTTTTGGACTGTGTTAGTCATCTTTGTTGGTTTCATCTCCGTCAAACTGACTTCTGTCAAAGGGCAAGTACAGATGTCTGTTTTCTCTTTTAAGTACAGCAGAACATTTTTGTGCTTCTGTCCTTTGCCTTCTGCTGGAGGAATATTGGAATGTATTGTAGAGTGCAGGCCCCTGACTCTCCTGCTGTGTGTATGAGTCCTTGCGGGGGCCATGGGACTTCACTCTGTGCTCTTTATGCCAAGCCATATGCAGTAACCGTCTCCCTGGGCTGCTGGATAGTTCTACACTCTGCTGAAAGAGTCCCTGAGGGTTTACTCTGCGTCTGTGCGGGGGAAAGTTTGATTGGCATCTTTCAGATTAGAAATGGGCAGGAATTTCCCGGGTAGATCGGTTTTATTATTACAGTGTTCTAAAAGTGTTGTCTTCAGCGGGGCTCGCCAGTGCCTTTGCAGATTATTGAGGTGCAGTGAGGTGAGAGTCTGGGCCCCCTCTTCGTCCAAGTAAACCTCAGATCTGTGCAGTTCTACAGCTCCGTGTGTGGATTCTCTGACCCGCTGTTGGGGGCTTGCTGCCCGCTTTCCTGTTGCGCTGGTGAATGCTGCCACCCCGCCTGCTGCCTCTGCGCAGCACCTTACTCCTCGCATCTTTTTTTCCATCTTCTTTTGTCTCATCTCTTTGGTTGGCTTCCACATAGAAATATGAACATTTAGTAGACAGTATCCATTGATTTGTTAGTTATTTAGTTCCAGAGCTGGGCATTTGGGGATGCAAAGATTATGAGAATGACACAGCACTGCCCTCCTGGTGATCAGAAGGGAGGAACATCTAAATGTGTAACTCCAGTATATTATAATAAAGTTTTTGCTGAGCATTTTACTTACATAATTTCCTATAATCTTAAAAAATAAACCCTGTAAGATTGCTGCTACTATCCTTATTGTACGGAGGAGGAAACCGAGGCTCCAAGGAAGTGAAATCATTTGCTCAGGGTCGCTTAAAGAGCAAGCTCACACAGTGGGAATACTGTCTGAGTTTGGGTTGCAAAGCTCCTGCTCTTAGCTACTGTGAATACAGTTTTTCTCCTCTCCTGCATTGCCTCTTTGAAAGGGTCGGCCATAAGCAGTAGAATTCAAGATATAATAATGCAGCATTTACATACTGACTATTACCTTTAAGTTTATCGTGAGGAGTTGGAGAACTAACCAGCTAACAGGCCTGTGTGCTGGTATTTTATTCCTGCACTGGTTTCAGTATGACTGATGGATGGCAGGATCCTCACTCTGCTTGAACATTGTACTGCCTTTATTCAGTTAAGAGGGCATTTGTTATCACTATGATTCTCATATGCAACGTATTCCCACCAAAATATTTTATTTGCCCCTCTGTTACCTTCTTAAGAGCCAGCTTCAAACTTATGCCTTAAAATACTTCACGGCTTTGAAATTAAGTGCCTTACGTCAGAGAGGGAAAAAAAGATAAGGTTATCTATCATAGAGGGTATAGGAACGACTTCATAGATCCCTGAAGATAATAATTTAATTGTAATAGTCCAGTTCAACCATTACACTTGGCTGGAAACTAGCACCTCTTCCTTCGGAGGAACCTGAGCTGCCTGTGTCCTGGCTGGGCCTGGAATGCTGCTGTGGACCAGGCTCCACTTCTCTTTGGATTTCCTGTGTTCTGATCCCAGTAGTTCCTGCCCTCTCTCCCACTTCGACTCCTTTTGTTTTTATTGTTCACTCTAGACAAGCAGTTCGCAGATTATCCTGAGAGACTGTTGTGTGAGAACTGTTTGTTAATTTATTCAGTAAATATTCATTGACCTTGACTGCGAGCCAGCACCATGCTGAGGGCTGGGGATCAAATAGGGCACAAAACAGCCCCTCTGCCCACTGTGAGCCTTGCTCTGGGGTGGGAGGCGCCCAATATACCAAGAAACACGAGATACGGTGCCCGGTGATGGTAAATGATGTGAGGAAAGGTCAGAATGAGTAAGGGGACAGGGAGAGCTCAGCGTGGAAGGGCCTGCTGCTGGTTTAGCTGAGTCATCAGATCTTTTGAGGAGGTGACATTTAACCCAAGACCTGAGTGTCTTGGTCAGTTTGGGCTGCTGTAACAAAAATACTGTAGACTGGGCGGCTTAACAACAGACATTTCTTTCTCACCGTTCCGGAGGCTGGAAGTCTGACATCAGGATGCCAGCCTGGGCCGGCTCTTGGCGAGGGCTCTCTTCCTCCCTTCAGATGGCTGCCTTCTTGCTGTGTCCTCACGTGGCAGAGAGAGAGATCGTTTCTCTTGTGTTTCTTCTTATACGGGCACTGATCTCAATCAGGAGGGCTCCACCCTCGTGACCTAATCACGTCCCAAAGGCCCCACCTCCAAATACCAACACCTTGGGGGTTACGGCTTCAAAATCTAATTTCTGGGGGACACAAACATTCCGTCCATAGCCCTGAGTGAAGTGAGGAAGAGCATTCCAGGCACAGGGCATTGCAAGTTCAAAGGCCCTGAGATGAGACTGTGCTTGGCAAGTCAGAGCAACAGCTCTGTCAGCCCCGGCGTCGTGGCTGGAGGAGAATGGGCCACAAAGGGAAGAGCGTTGGGAAATGAAGTTGGAGAGGTACAGGGGGCCAGTCCGTGTAAGGCCAGGGAGGCTGTGATGGGCAGTTTAGGTGTGATTCCCAGGGGCATGGGGAGCCTTCCTGAACAGGGAAAGGTGTGTTAGGACTTTCAATTTTAAAACATCACTTTGGATGCTATGGGGCTGGGATGTTGGGGCCAAGAGTGGAAGCAGGATGTGGTCTAGAAGAGGTGATGGTGGCCTTTGGGAGGTAATTAGGTTTGGGTGAGGTCATGAGAGAGGGGTCCTCATGATGGGATTAGTGTCCTTGTGAGAAGAGGAAGAGAGGCTAGACCTCCCCCACCCCCACCCCCAGCCATGTGAGGACACAAGCCGGGAAGAGAAGGAAGAGAGCTCTCACCAGAATCCGACCATGCTGGCACCCTCATCTTGGACTTAAAGCCTCTGGAACTGTAAGAAATAAATTTCTGTGTTTTAAGCCACTCAGTCTGTGGTAATTTGTTATAGCAGCCCAGGCAAAGATATCTTCCTTGCCTATTTATTTGTTTAATAAGTTGTACATGCCAGTTGGTACATGTACAAAGCTAAATAAATCCAACACTACAGTGGGATGTGTAAAGTTGAAGTAAAAGTTTATCTTCCTCCTTCCCAATCGCAATCCCTTTGAGAGAGCCATTTACCAGTTTGAGGGTTATTCTTCCAGACCTGTGCCATCTAATGAGGTAGCCATCGTCACCTGTGGCTATTTAAATTTAAATTAAGTAAAATTAAATTAAGTAAAGTTAAATTAATTAAAATTAAACATTCACTTCCTCAGTCATACTGGCCATATTTCAAGTGCTCAGTAGCCGTGGATAACTAGTTAACACCATGTGGGACAGTATAGATAGAGAACATTTCCATCATCACAGAATGTGCGATTGAACACTGTTTTAGATGAATTCTATTCATATACAAACATGTATATATATGCATATATAGGCACAGTTGGCATAATATTGTACATAAGCTTCTGCAATTTGTTTTTTCCACTTAACAGAGAAACTGTTAATTTAGTGTGATCCACACGTAACGTCATGCCAGGAAAATTTTAAAACAGTGCATAATCAAACATAGAGTTTTAGTAAATTTAAACCTTTTTTAATTTCAGATTTTAGAGGTCATTGCAACATATCCTTAATGCTTGTTCCAGCTTTAACTAAATAAATTATTTTTGGAAATAGTCCACTCAGCCTTGGGTGTGTAAGGAAAGAAGATTCAAGAGATCTAACTTGAGCTTAATGTACTGTGGTTACCGTACATATTCACACACACATATATTTCCTGTTGTTCCTGTTTTTTAACAGGAATTGTAATCTTTCTGTTTACTCACTGTTTGGTCGACCAGCATTGTCCAAAATGGTGGCCACTAGGCACATGTGGTGGTTTAAGTTAACATTAAATTAAATTAAAAATTCAGTTCCTCAGTCATACTAGCCAAATTTCAAGTGTTCGTTAGCCGCGTATGGCTGGTGGATGTGGAGAGTTGCCATTTTGCACAAGGTTCTATTGAACAACACTGCACTAGAAGCTTTCTTCAAAAACATTTCTCATTAAATACAGTGATTTTTCCACAAGTGAGGGATGGGAGGCTCTGCCCAGGAGGACATGCCGGAGTTTCTGGGAGCAGGTGGAGAGCCTGCACTTTTCTGCCCTTCCCACTCAAGATTTTGATCCGTCCCTCTGAAGACGCAGGTCCTCCAACTCTGTTGAGGATTGGTGTTCCATAGTAAGTTAATTGTGGGAAAGAAAGTTGGTACCAGTAGCTTTTCAAGGTTAGAATGTTACTTTAAGTGACGATCGGTGGTGTACACACACTATTAACTAGCACCTGTATATACAGT